CTGCTGAACTGTCTTCCTAAAGACAACACTGTGTTGACGTTCTTTGTTCATGCAAGTGAGGCTCATAAGTTTCAAGACCCTTGCGCAAACTCATTCCCTCTGGTGCACAACTTTTTGTAGCCCTGGTGTGGTCTGTCCAGCTGTTTCCAGACTTCAGCTCTTATTTTAGAGCTGAAGATGCTTGCAATCTTCTACCAGTCAGCATCTAAATTTACTCTGCCACAGTGCTGCAGTATCTGTGACTTAGCCATGTGGGAAACCTGGAGCAAAAAACATGTGTGCACAAGCTGGTCCTTAAAATTTTAACACTCCCTACTTTACATATCATTGGTTATCTTTTACTATGCAACTGCAGTAGCAGAAGTTGGTGAATGGGAAATCAAAAAGCAGTGGTGGTGTTCTACTAAAGGGGAAGGGAACCTGCTGGAATTTGGGAGGTGGTGTTGATTAGACATAGTGACTGTAAAAATAGCTTCTTCTGTTGGTGAAATCTTCAGCAGAATGAAAGATCTCACTTAAGCATGAGGGAAGCAGAGCAGAGAAGACATCCTGAGCTCTGCTGATAAAAGGAAAAGCTGACTACATTGCTGCCCATTTTGTAATTCAGTTAGACACTATGGCATTAATAAAGAAAAGCCATACAGGGCAGAAGGTTACCTTTTGGAGAAGACAGTCGTTAACAGGTGAAAATCAACAGGACATAGCATGTTATGAATCTGGAAAAATTGTGCAGGAAGAGAACACTCTCTCAATAATACAGCTAAGAGGAACTGAAATGGTATTGGGTGTGTATATGAGTGGGTGGGCATGTAGGAAGGCAACGCCTAAAGGGAAGAGCTCTGAGGTACTGGGCCATAGGTCACATTCACCTACAGAAAGTGTCTTGAAGAAACTGCCTTTCTTCGCTTATATTCTTAGAGAAGCATGGCTGTTACATTATTATGCCTCAAGTATTGTGTAATAGTATTTTCCGGAAGCATACAATACTTTTCCTAAATCAAGTCTAACATACACACAAATCACTAATTTTTAAACATCTTGCAAACCCATTACAACTCTAATGATGATAAAGTGAGATGGTCACCGACTTGTTTATTACAGTTAATCCTAATAGTTCAAGAATAACTTACCTTCCTCACTTCTCTTAAGTAGATCAGATACTGATCATTAAGTATGAGCTGCAATATATTAACTGAAATTCTAGATATAGAAGAAAAAATCCAAACTTTTTATATTAATCATGTATAGAACCACATTTTCAAGTTAGTCATTTCCACAGCCAGAAAGCTGAAACATTTAATATCTCCCAAGTTATACTGCTTAAATAGTTTTTCCATCATCTTTCAAACAACAAAAAATAACTCTGTCCCATATGCAAGTGTTTTATTTGGAAGAGGAATGCATAAAACAATCCAACAGGAAAGTCTGGTTCATTTTAAAGACTTAAAATGCTCTAATTTTATATTCTTTATGACTACTATATGGCATACGAAGTCATTGTCATCAGAAATGCAAGACTGAAGAGCAGTAAACTCACAGTATGTAAAGGTGCAAGAGTGATTTTTTCAACAAGCTACATACAAAAAACGAATGCTGAAACGTTGGAAATACCCAATTATGGTATTCTGGACTTTCAGAAGCCACTCTAGAAGAATCAGTGACTTGAGGGCTTTAAAAGGACACAAAAAGGGAAGCATTGCCTTTTTGTATTATTTCTATCAGGATAAACTGTCAAACATTTAAGTACTATTATGAAATAAGACTCCCAAATTAATTTGCTTCACAGCAAAGAGGCAAAGAGCTCCTTCCAAACAAATCCGAAACAGGTACACAGTACAACCCATTTTTGTATAGACTTACGCGTATCTAATGATAAAAAAAAACCAACAAATCTATGGTCCTCCTTATTTAGAACTAAAAACGTAAAGAGAGCTTAACATGAAAATGAGTTAAATATCCACTTCAAGACTCCTTTACACTGTCAGCAGCACGTAAGGAGGACTTCAGTAAAGGCAGGCTATAGTCCCTGACAAAAGAAGTTCGGCACATTTCTGTATCTTTTTGGAACCCAAGTATTTATGCCTTCAGACTTCTGCAGTATTAGGACTGGATAAAGTCTACTTCATAAAGTAGTAACAGACTATGGTAGTAGATCTGTGTTCTGTGAAGTCATTCAATCTATATTTCAAATCAATAACACATTGAAGTTAAAATAGCCTTGCACAAACAGGGTGCGGTTTAATAAAAACCTTTTGGTTGGCAGTTATTTGGAAAGAAACTTAAGAATCATTAGGGTTAATCTCTATAAAGTCATTGACCAAAAAGAAACTATAATTAGTCATCTTATTCTGGTTTTTGGAATTAAGCATTTTTATTTGCTGCTGAAAGTCATGCACCATATATTTCACTTACTGTCACTAAGAAATATAGAGCTAGAGTTTTTAAATACACCTGTGCAGTTTGAGTTTTGGTATAACAATTCAATTTCAACCTGATTTATGCTAATTTTTGATAATGAGAAACAGATCAACATACCTGCCTTCATAAACTGTTCTACAGAATATAGATTTTAGAATGTTTAAAAGTGATTTATATCTGTTCTTAAGCAGGTCGTGGTTTTTTTTCCTCTCTCCTGTTTTTAGATAATTTGTTGAGCCTGTATTGTATTTGAACAAAATCATTCCATTTGAATGATATATGTTTTGTCTTATAAACAGAACTGGGATGGGAGGGAGAAGGAAAAGACCAAGGAATTCTTCCCTTTGAAAGGTGAGAGAATTAGCCTCTTCAGTCATTGGGCACCACATTATGAAGAATTTAAGATGTGTTAAGAGACGTTCTTAGCATATCACAATGATTTCCATTATATGAATATCCGCTATGACAAGAAATCAGAAGATTTGTTATATAAATCATTCTGTATTGTTAAACTTAGATACATACTAAAAGAAATCACATTGAAGTTTTTTCACATCTTCATTCAGTTTAAGACAACAGAAATTCTCTGCCATGTTGTGGGCTAAGAACATGCCCAAGATTTGAATTTTATCAGCCCCATCTGTCTTGTTATTTATTTCCAACAAAATTTGTTTTAAGCTATGAACTTAAATGCCCATGTACAATTTTAATCATGATTTCTAGAATTTCCATTATCAAACTAGAATGACTTGTAGTTAGTGTATAGTCCCTAACTACACATTTTAATTTTGACAGTCTCCAGTTTGGCAGTGATGCTTCATTCTGCTGTAACACACTGGGTTATTTTTCACTTTTCGTAGCCTAGTAGCACAGGCACCACACTTACAGTTACTGAGTTGTCTTAAAAACATAGATTTGGACTATCAGTTACAGTGACGAGGACACTGAAGGTTTTCACTGAAGAGAACTTTAAAATGCAGAAGGATATTGAATGACACCTGGCAGACTGTTGACCTCGTGAGGACAAAAAGGAATCTTGAAATAGGATATCAAAACTAGATTTTGGCAATATAGAAGATGTATTGTCCATGTAGTTCTTCCATAAGCTTTAAAAATACTCTTATTAAATAAGTTTTTCCTTAAGACCAGATAATACGTGTAACTAGTAAGAGTCCAAGGGTCAGAATCGTCTTCAATTCCTAATTATTCTCTA